AGAGAGAGAGAGAGGGAATCCCTATGGAAACAAAGCTTTCACTCCACGGATAGAGTTAGTCAGACAGAGACTGTCACTGCCCATAAAGCAGGGCCAAAGAACCCCGAGGGCAAGTACCTCTGCTATGATGGCGAAACTCAGCCAGAGGAGAAAATAGCTCTCAAATCAGAGACAGCACATCTATAAAGGGAACCTCAGCCTGGGAACTAATGCAACCAGCTCTCTAATTCCCTGTCACCCCTCTATCTCCACCACCCACCCTCACAATAAAAAGAAAAGATCCTGAAGAGAGGAAGAGTCAAAGTGGAATCCAAGCTAAAATAGGACATATTCCTGCAGCCTTTGTTAAACACAAAATCAGAGCATTGATACCAAGAAAAAAAAACGATTACTCCTTTGGGATTCTGTAATCTGTAACATGAATTGCCTCTCTCAGCAACATGGAAACTCCAAACAAACAATAATCTTGCCTCTTATGTCCAGCAGTTCTAGGATGCCTTTATTCCTGCATCTGAACTGTTGGAACACTGCAGATTCTCTCTCTCTCACCCCTCCTAATTAATAATTTGGCTCAGTCTTTAAAACAATCTGCTTATCCTAATGTTTAACAGTGGTGTGACAGGCTGTGTTTTCTGGTCGTTAGTTTCGGGGACTGACTCATGATTCCTGGCTTCTGTTTTCAGCTTTATCACAGACCAGTTGTGTGGCTTTGAGCAGATCACCTTACCTCCCTGTGCCTCAGTTTATACTACTCTAGAATGGTGAGACTATCTACCTCACAGAGGTATTGGGAGGCTGAAGGTATTTTTTTAAAATGCTTTGAGATGCTCAGGTGGAAAGTGGTGTAGAAAAGTGGACAGTATTGTATTTACGACACCAGTATTCCTCTGAGTTGTCACAGTCCGCCACCACCTGGTGCCTCATACCTGTCAACCATGACTAAGTCTGTGAGGAGCCTCCCAAATGGCGAATATTATTCTTTCCTGAGCATCCCGTTTGTCTGGATTGCACATACACAGGGGTGCTGCATCTTCTCAGGGATGTGTTTTCTGTTTGCCTCCTAGGTGATCTATCGTGCCTTAACTCCAACCAACAAGATCGAAGACCCATATGGTCCTGAGGCCCAAGACCTCCTGAAACTCACCAACCTGCGCCTCCTTTTATTAAAAAGGCAGGAGTGTCCCTGCCAAGGCTTGGGATTGCTGGAGAAACCCCAGAGGTTTGCCCACTATGCTATCTATGATCTGATTGTCCGGGGAAGTTGCTTCTGTAATGGTCATGCAGAAGAATGCCAGCTTGCCAATGGGACAGGGAACACAGAGAACGTGGTGAGTTCTTGAAATTCACTAGTTTACTTCAATTTGTACTTGTTTGTGCTTCCTGAGTCAAACAGAGACTTCTCCATAAGACCCTGTCCACCTTCACCAAAACAGTTAAAAATAGGGTACCACTGATAATCCACATCAATGAAACCTAAACCTGCTTCTTAGTATGGAAGGGGCTATATAACACTAACAGCTGTTCCAAAAATGATCTTTTGTTAGAGATAGGCCTGAACCAAAATCTTGGATCTGAACATACCCACACTTCATGGAGATGTTTAAAATCTGAACTGGGATCCAGATCCAAATATAGTGGCTGATATTATACATCTTCTTGTATCTCAGCAGGGAGATAAACTAAAACCTTGGACCAAAACATTGCCCGTGAAATTTTGGGATTTCAAAATCTGTTCTAAGCAACAGAGTCCTGTGGCACCTTTAAGACTAACAAACGTATTGGAGCATAAACTTTTGTGGGTGAATACCCACTTCGTCAGACGCATGACGAAGTGGGTTTTCACTCACGAAAGCTTATGCTCCAATACATTTGTTAGTCTTAAAGGTGCCACAGGACTCTGTTGCTTAGAACAGATCCTGACTAACACGGCTACCCCTCTGATACTTAAAATTTGTTCTAGTTATCCATCTTAAATGACATAAGGAAATCTCTTTAAACAATGCAAAGAATCTCATTTACCACAAGCTAGGACATTAAAAGTATTGCTTGAAATTCCGTTTTTCCTTTGCACTGTATTAGAGTGCAAATTATAGCTGAGATCCCCACCACTGGAGACTTTTGAATTTGGTAGGCACAAGCAGTTGTGTTATGGTTATGATTTCAGCTTTTGACTCAATTTCCTGGGTTTTGTTGGTTCAGCCAGATGCTAAGCGTTATTGGTGGAAGAAGAAGATTCTGCGAGTGGTTTAATTATAGAGCCCTACAACCAAATTCATAATTGTGGAAAACTTCAATTATTTTCAATGAAAATTTTGCTTGATTAGGCACGGCAGAGTTTGACTCTAGATACCAGGGCTCAAAAAAAGAGGCATGATCGGTCTTGTTGTTCCTTCTCTTGAATCACAGCAGATTAGTCAATGTTCTATTGGGTTTTTTGGAAGGTCTTAGCTTGACCCATGCAATCTAATCTTTGTCTTGATATATAATGGTCTTATGTACAAATAGTTTGTTACTCATTTGTGACTAATAGAAAATATTCTCTATAAAAGGGAACAGAAAAAGGGTAAAAAGAAGAAAAGAAAAAGAAAACGACGGTTTTGCCAGTGCAGTTATTTATGTGCACGTATGTTTTCTGGGCACAGTTGTGGGGCTGGTGGTTCAACATGTGGCCCTAGAACATATTTGATTGTAATAAACTCAGATCACTTTTTAATTTTAATATCTACCTGGCTGTTTTTAGGCACTTGTACCAACAATTTGCTCTAGTGCTGACACTGTGTCCCAAGTTTCAATCTGGAGGGATTTCTTCTTCTTCTGCACACCCATGTGCACTCACGTGTGTAAACTATTGGGCTTGATTATGAGAGGTGCTGAGCATTTAAATCTTCCGACTGAAGTCAAAGGGATCTGTGGGAGTTTAGTGACTGAAAAATCAGGCATGACAGCCCTTCTGTTTTCTGGACAATGGACTAGAGAGGAAATGGAAGTCTCAACAGAAATGCAGGTGGTCTCCAGCCCTGCCTTGTCTCTACTTCTAGAGAAAAGCCAGGTTTGCAAAGAGCTTAGTTATGCCTTTGCAACACATTTGGATCAGCTTGTGATAAGATTTGTAACTAAACTTGGGGGGGAAAAATAGAATGAGTACAAATTTACCAAGTTTCTGGTAAGATTTTTCTTGTTACTTTACCTTCTTGTAGAGCAAGGTTAAGAAAGTAAAGGTAATTCTCTTTCCCCCTCCACTCAGCTTAAAACAAGTTAGGATAAAAATGGATCTGTCATACATACTGAAAGTTCACTCTTGAGGGGGGAGGGATAGCTCAGTGGTTTGAGCATTGGCCTGCTAAACCCAGGGTTGTCAGCTCAATCCTTGAGGGGGCCATTTAGGGAATCTGGGGCAAAAGTCTGTCTGGAGATTGGTCCTGCTTTGAGTAGGGGGTTGCACTAGATGACCTCCTGAAGTCCCTTCCAACTCTGACATTCTATGAACGGTGCTAAGCCTGAATTCCCTTCAAAAGGTTCCATGTGCCCTTTAACTGACACTATCCTAGTTCACAGTAGCCCTTTACATTTTATGAGGAGGCCAGATTCAAACTCCTAACTTTTTCACTGCTGTTATACATGCCAGGTACAGGTAGCTGGATGCACCTCCAGTCCAACTAGAGCAGTTACGATACCATGTGTTGTCATTTTCAGTAGAATGTTAATTGGCTGAACAGTGAAGAGATTAATAATTAATGTAATCTTCAGCAGTCACTTTGGAATAAAATTCTAGGCCTTGACTTAGGAAAGCCCATACTTACACTGCAGTATGTGCTTTAGTGCGTTCCTGAATCAGGACATGTTCCTGAATTGAGGCCTTAAACCTGGGCAGGGTGTTCGAATGCTGCTATTCAGACTTCACTACCAATGATGCCCCCATTACTGTCTAAATACTGATTCAGCTGTACATATTGTATGGAGTAACCATAACAACAGTCATGGGAAAATTATGTTAACCAAATGTAGTGTGTTATCTAAGGACATCAAAAAAGTTCTATCCCAGGCCAAGAATTCAAGCCATTTAACCAGGAGCAGCAACACAGGTCAACAGGTCTGTGGTTTTCCATAAGGCTTTCTGTCTCTATAATGGAATCTGAAAACAAAAGCAGCCATAAATGCTTTATTCGTGATACACTCTGACATTCTAGACTAAAGAAACCCGTTCCACAACTAATTTCATGTCCATATAGGTATATGGTGCATGTGTTATTCTGTTTTTTTTTTTCTGGAATGGATATTCTTAGGTGTCTTAAGTTTTCTACTTTTAGAGTTAGATATTGTACACTAAATAAAGACCATATGAATTTCACAATATTTAAAATATTTTTTCTGAATCACTACCAGCCGTGGTATAAATCTAGCATCTCATGTATGCTAGCATTGGGTGATGTTATCCACCCCCGTAAATGTGGACCCATTTAAGACATAACTGTAGAAAAAACAGTTTAAAGAACACATTCTCTATTGCAAACTGCTAAATATACAAGTGGTGAAATAGAATAGATGAGTAACAAACACATTAAACGAATACAGCTGGTAGAAGAATAAACACTGCCCATCAAAAGGGAAAACACAATATTGTCCATGCTGTTGGCACAGTCATTGTAAACTATGACTGGATGTCTCTTATTTTTTTCCATTAGTCTCAATGGAACAGGGGTTTTGTGCCATCAGATGACTTCACAGGGCAGAAGGTGAAATAGTTTTGTTGAAATAGATTTCATGAGTGATTCATACCCCAGGAGACAATAAGGAGTATGTATCCTAGCACTTACACGGAGACAAGGGTTAGTGTTTTGCCTGGGTAAGGACTCAATAAGAACTGAGGACGGGCTTCAGGATCCCTGTATCACTTCCCCTGAAGGCGCAATGCCCATCATGTGGCCGAAGATGTTTTATAGAACATATTAAGAAACAAATCAATGGGCATCTTGAGATTTAAGATTGTTATGCCCTTTTAAACCTTTTGATTATTTAATAAAATGGTACTTCTAGGAAATGCAAAGCATACGAGCATTTTAAATAAACTCTCTCTCTCAATGCTGGGTTTTGCTTTTTATGGATTATTTCATTGGTATTTTTGTCTGGCAGCAGCTGATATTTCCTAGGTTAAATTTAGCATCTCTATAACTACGCTCATATTTCTCTGTACAAAGTTCCTGTAAATTCCCTCCTTAGTCAAATAGGCGGGACACAAGACTAGGTGAAAAGCCTAGATCCAGCTCTTTTGGGCATTCTTCCATTTCAATGCAGAAAGTAAAAAGGAGAAAAAAGTGATGGCCAAGAAATCTATGGGCAATCATCTCAAATTTGGGGTTTTCTTGCAGCAGCAATGACCCTTTTTCTTGTTTTCCCTTTGTCCTCTCTTACCACCAAGTCATTTGGGAGATGCTGCAAAGATATGAAACATGATTTATGCATCATCTTGTAGTATCCTTAGGTTTACACTCAAAGGGCAGAATTCTCCTCTCAGTTCTGCATGGGCTACAACATTTGGTTCTCCCTACATTATGGTGACATGACAGTGTAAGAGAAAAATCAGGACAGAGGGTGGGGAGTAATATGCGCCTATACAAGACAAAGCCCTAAATATAGGGACTGTTCCTATAAAAATCGGGACATCTGGTCACCCTACCCTATGTGAGTAGATCTTTCCTGGAGGTCAGTGAAGGAGAAATACTTACTGAAGCTGGGCGATGCCATGAAAATTACAGAGGAGCATTTTATTGTAAGTGTAGGACATGGGCATCAGTTTGGAAAGGAATGAATGGCCTGACTAGGCACATCTGTGTTCCTTCTTGCTAGAGGATGTTGTGAAAGCCAAGACTATAACAGGGTTCAAAAAAGAACTAGATAAGTTCTTGGAGGATAGGTCCATCAATGGCTATTAGCCAAGATGGACAGGGATGGTGTCCCTAGCTTCTATTTGCCAGAAGCTGGGAATGGGTGACAGAGTATGGATCACTCGATGATTACCTGTTCTGTTCATTCCCTCTGTGGCACCTGGCATTGGCCACTGCCAGAAGACAGGATACTGGGCTAGATGGACCTTTGGTCCGACCCAGTACGGCCATTCTTATGTTCTGTGGTTTTTTTAATTGTTGGACATAGTGGAAAATAGCCCTCCCTCCTCCCCCCCATTTCTGTGGGAGGTGCAAGGATATCTGTTGTGATGTGCTGAGGGCCTTGCTGTAGGACTCTGTAGGGCACAAGGAACAGCAGTCAAGTTTAGGTTGCAGTTAGCTAACATTTGGTAGCTAAGCCCAACTTTTTTCCTAGCGTACATCTA